GGGGGAAACCGGAGCACCTGGAGGAAACCCATGCCAAGGGGAGAACATGCAAACTCCACACACACAGAAATGCCAACTGCCCCAGCCGGGACTCGAACCAGCAACCTTCTTGCTGTGAGGCGACAGTGCTAACCACTGATGCAGTGACACACTCAAACTTGCATAATGTAATTGTAATTGGGAATCAGCAGTCTGCGTGTGTGTGAATGGGAAAATCATTCCACCAGCGCGAAGCATTGAATGAGAAAGTTCAACAACTGAAGGATTGTGTGTCTCACACTGTCATTTTATTCACAAACAAACAGCTGCATTAACATCTTTACTGGCCTTAGAAGAGTGTAAAAAAGAGGTATGAAAAAACAAAGTTACCTGAGCCTGTAATCATGAGGCACACCGTCAAATGTTTTATTAAACTGACATTATTAACCACAATGCTTCAGTTCACAAAAAATGTTACAATAAAAAAGTTGTTTTACCCAAAATGTCACCCAAAACTGAAAATTCTGCAGCCTGATCTCACGAGGAAACGTAAGTATTTTACGTTTTGCCAGTTTAGTGGCTAATTCGTACGAATTCGTATGAGTTCAGTCGTACGAAAATGTACGATTTTAAAAAGGAGGCGTGGCACCTAACCCCACCATCATTGGGCGATAATCAAATCGTACTAAATTGTACGAATTAGATCGTACGAATTCATTTGAATTGGCTACTAAATCAAAAAGTTACAAATTGCCATGAGATTGTGTTGAAATTCTGTCATTACTTTCCCGCTTTTAACTTGTCACAAATCTTTACGAGTTTCTTTCTTCTGTTGAACATAAAAGAGGATATTTTGAAGAATGTTGGAAACCGGTAACCATTGACTTCTAAAGTATTTTTTCCCTATTATGAGTCAATGGTTACCAGTTTCCAACTTTAATCAAAATGTCTTCTTTTAGGTTCAGCAAACAAAGAAACTCATTGAAGATTGGAACTAATTGAGGGCAAGTAAATAGTGAGTATATTTTCATTATTTTTTTTTTTTGGGTGAACAAACCCTTTAGAAGCATTTACTGTATTGACCTTATTCTGCGATGTGGAAGTATGCTCGTATTTGCGATTGTTGTTCAGTTAAGTTGCCTATGTGAGAAATGACTATAGGAATAATAAACAGCAGAAAATGCTTCAATTACTTGCTCTACAAACAAGTGTGTTCATGACTTACAAATGAGGACAAGGAAGCAATTTACACAACTATAAGAGCAACAATGAATAAGTGCTGTAGGCAAGTTTCAGGTGTGTAAAGTGTAAGAAGCAAAGCATTAGTAATGTTATTATTTTTTTTTTTGAGTACAGTAATCGGTGGAGCGAGAGAGGCAATTGCAGATTAGGAAGTAAAGTATAGACTAAATAGTTGAGTTTTTAGTCATTTCTTGAAGACAGCGAGTGACTCTGCCGTTCTAATGCAGTTAGGGAGTTCATTCCACCAACTGGGCAGATTGAATGCGAGAGTTCGGGAAAGTGATTTCTTCCCTCTTTGGAATGGAACCACGAGGCGACGTTCATTCACTGAACGCAAGTTTCTGGAGGGCACATAAATCTGCAGAAGTGAGAGCAGATAAGAAGGAGCAAAGCATGATATCGCTTAGTAAGCAAACATCAGAGCTTTGAATTTGATGCGAGCAGCAACTGGCAGCCAGTGCAAACGGATGAGTAGCAGAGTGACATGTGCTATTTTAGGTTCATTAAAGACCACTCGTGCTGCTGCGTTCTGAAGCAGCTGTGGAGGTTTGATAGAATTAGCTGAAAGCCCGGCTAGATCAAGAACACAGAGAAAAATATACATTGAATTTACTCCATTTTATAAGGTAAGTGGTCGCAATCAATTTATATAGGCGGAATTAAAAACCAACACATTAAATGTAGCAATGTTCAACTTCATTTGTTTGTTTAACATCAGTCCATATAAATTGTTAAATTAAATGAATAATTTTTTTAGAGAATAAGGTCAATAATGGCAACATGTATTGTCAATAAGAGATGTCTTAAACATCAGTCGTGTTGTAAACATCAACCTCATTTCAGCACGATAACAAATTCACGGCAGTACAAATAAAAAAATAAAAAAGGCGTATTACAAACAAATACAGTCTAAAGATAATATTTCCAGGCCATTTGACAAAGTATGCATTTATAAAACAAAACAAATGACAAAACACTCCAATTAGCAAACCGTTGAGGTACTGAAGCTACCATCATCATCATCATCATCATGTTATGAACTGATAATCATTGATGAAGTCACTCCCCTTATTCCATTAAAAAGGCACAGTTGTCTGTTTGAATAGTGTATATGCAGAAGTACTCTCAGTGTTTCCTCTAGGATTTTTTCCAGCTGTGGCGGGTTTTTTTTTTTTTTTTTTTTACACAGGTCTACCAAATACCTGTGGGGTTATTTCAATGACATATGTCGTAAACGCAGTATTAGAAGTCGAGATCGCATTTATGCAATAACCTACATGTACGAGCATGTGAATCTCTGCTTGAGTGCCGATTTCCTCCGCTCGTGCACAAAACTTCTTGCACGCCACCTCAAATATAAGCCGCATCAAGAGCGCGCAGATCTTCTTGTGCGCTCTCAAACAAACGCTGCTGCGTGCAATTTAGTGCGTTTATGTAACGAGTATGTCTCCAGCATTTATTAGATTTGCTAGGAATGTTTATGGGTGTCTCTAACAGACCTACAGAGTAGCATTAATGCGTCCTGAAGTAAATTGAAACGGCTATACGTCGTGTTTGCTGGCCTCACGCATCATACATCTGTCAGCCAGTCAGCACGTCACCTTAAAGGGTTAAACAAATAAGGCACAGCAATACTACGATTACAGAAAAGGTTGCGCTGTTATAATTCACTTATGCTTTAATACGTTTTGGTGCGATTATAACCCTTTTATAAAAAAAAATTAAAAAAAAACGTTTGAATGAGAAGCTGTAATGAAGCCATGGCGGGATGAATTTTGGCGTGGCGCCCCGCCATGGAAGATTGAATGTAGCAGAAACCGTGATGTTTTTAATTTATCAGTAACCTGGGTTAAGTGCTTCTGGTGAACTGTATGCCATTAAAAAAATCGGCGCGTTTAAGGTCTGTTTTCTTAGAAAATAAGCCATCTCCACTGGCTGAGTGATATCTGGTATGAAGTGGGTTTCAGATTGTACAAGAAGCGCTGCGTTAAGATACATTTTACCCGCCATGTCTTTAAAATATTAAAAATAAATAAACTTATTTTACCCCTAGTATATTCAATGGAGCTTCTGCGCTAGCCTGCCGATTCTGACAGGCGCGTGCGAGTAAACGGCTTTTTGTCTCATTTTACGCTTAAGCAACAACATGAATGCCAAAGTCTGTTGAACTGATTGTATTGTGATTACATTACAACATCGATGCTGTTCAAGGAGCCGTATAAAATGGAAAGACATTACATTAACCCTTTGTTTATCAGTATGTGAGGAAACACTAGCTCTGCATATACAATATTCAAATCTTTCATTCCACCGTGAACATTAATATAAAAAAACACAATATAAAGAAATTATACATAAAAAAGAGCAGTTTTTCAAGCTTTGGTCGTATGTTTTTTTTCCCCTGGAATCCTGAGAAGATTAAATAAACCTCATATAACCCAGTCGTTCCCTGTAAACTAAGATGACTGTAGTTTTGTATCATCTGTGATTTTTCAAAATCCCTTTTAATCCCAAGATCCTGAACGTTAAATAAAGGAAACAAAGTTTTTGGTTTCATATATGAGTGTAGCTCAAATAAAATATACACATTTTTTTTTTCTCCAACAAATGTGTAAGAAATGAATAAGAAACGGTAAGAAATTAATATTTAAATTTGACACACAACATGCATGTGTTTAAAAAGTGAAGTTCAAATTCATTCTCTCAATCCAAATCTATATGTTCAATATACTGCTCAATATTTTTCAGTTCTCAGAGACAGTACACCCAAAAATGAAAATGCTGTCATCATTTGCTCATCCTCCACTTGTTTCAATTCAGTTTCTTTGGTTTGTTAAACACAAAAGATGGCATTATGAAGAGTTTTGAAAACCAGTAGCCGTTGATTTCCATAGTATTTTCCCTTCCTTAATATTAGTGGCCACCATTTTCTATCATTTATTCATTAATTTTTTTTTCGACTTAGTCCCTTTATTAATCTGGGGTCCCCACAGCGGAATAAACCGCCAACTTATCCAGCACGTTTTACGCAACAGATGTCCTTCCAGCTGCAACCCATCACTGGAAAGCATCCATACACACTCATTCACACATAAACTACGGACAATTTAGCTTACCCAATTCTGTACCACATGTTTTTGGACTTGTGGAGGAAACTGGAGCACATGGAGGAAACCCACGCCAACATGAAGAGAACATGCAAACAAAGAAATGCCAACTGACCCAGCTGAGGCTTGACCCAGCGACCTACTTGCTGTGAGGCAATTGTGCTACCCATTGCGCCACCATGCCCTTCCATCATTTATCAAAAAAATAAAAAAATTTAATATATATAAATATTTGTGTTCACAGAAAAACAAAAATCGCCCCTTGAAGGTGAGCAAATGTTATTTTTGGGTGAACTATCCCTTTAAAATGACATTGTATATCGCTTTTTCACCTTAAAAATTGATTATTGTACAACATAGATTTTCAAAATTAAAATAATAATAATAATTTATCTATGAGCCCTAAATGTGACATTTTCACTTTTTTTTTAAACTAAATAATCCTATTTTAATTTTCAATAAAAATATTTTATTTTAGTTTACCCCATTGGCAGAACGTTTTACTCGTTTCAAGGAAAAACTCAATTTAATTTAAAATTTAATTTAATTTAAAACTCAACCTAATTTGGACATTATTTTTGAAAAGTTTTAATTTTGCTTCTCTATAAAATCATCCTTGTTTTCAGTCCAAATATCTAAAAAAAAAAAATCGTAAATCAAGACAAAAACCTCTAAGTAGAAAAAGCCTTTTTTTGCAGCGAGTGTAGTATGAGAGTCATGGCTGAGGTAGTTTTAGTCACTCTCTTCAAATGTTTCTGCAGTGGGCGGTGCCTGAGTGGGTGGCTCCTCCACTGACTCCACCCCTTCATCCTCAGCCTGTGTGCAGAGCAAAAAAAACACACATGAGAAATTGGAGAATTGTGACAGTTTAACAGGAAACCAAGAAAAATAGGGAGCTGCACTTCATGGTTTCCCCTTAAACACACTGAGTCATTCACCTAACGAGAGAACTGAGTAACGGGGAGTTTTCGACATGAGTTTCACTATAGAAAATGACTGAATGACATGTTTGTGTCTTAACGGATTGAGACTGTTCTCATGCAATGCTATTCATTTAGATCATTATGGGTTGGTGCTAAGAATTATCATTGATAATGAGAACTAATCGAGCTTTATTACTGCGTGCTCTGTAAAACAAATCTGTATATTAGTAGCTGTCTGTATATATATATATATATATATGTATATATATATATATATATATATATATATATATACATACATACATACATACATACATACATACATACATACATACATACATACATACATACATACATACATACATACATACATACATACATACATACATACATACATACATACATACATACATACATACATATATATATATATATATATATATATATATATATATATATATATATATATATATATATATGTGTGTGTGTTTTGGACAAAATTAAGTGTTAAATGTAAGACATTTATTAGTTATAAATACACTATATAGGTGTCACAATCACCAGCCATCGTAACTTCAAAGATCGCTGGATCTCACTCACAATAACTTATGGACTACAATTCCGCCATTTCTGGACTACATTTTCATACATGCACTCCGCTCACAGACACATATGCTTCCTCATTCAGACTGATTATACTCACACCACCTGAGGATTGTAAAAGTCTGATTACACACACTATTTAAGCATAACACACTCTCCCTTCCATTGCCGAGTCTTGTTCATCTGTATAGTGACATTACAACGCGTTATCTTAGTCTTGTTTTCCTGTGTCTTGACCCTAGTCTAGTTTATCCTTTTGTCTCTGTTTGCTAGTGGTGGGCAAAGCGAGGCTTCATGAAATACTGAAACAAACGAAGCAAATGAGTTGAAGCTTCGAAATGTTCGAAACCCTACTCTATGGTGACACCTAGTGGTCATTTTTTATGTACTGCATTGAAACAGCTTCAGCAAGAACATTTAGCAAGTAAGGTACTTAACCTGAACTTTGTAAAAGTGCACCTTTAAGAGATTTAGTGGAGCGGTTAAGGTTTCCGACTTCCATGCGGGTATAGTGGGTTCGAATCCAAGCTGAAAAAGCTATTTTGAAATGCTTTAATAGCAGTTGGTAATGTCTTGTTCTTGTATCGTTTTGTTTCAACATTGGTCTGACATCCGAATAAACACTTTGTGAATAAATATGTCTTGTTTTGGTCCTATAACAGGGTTGTTGCTAGATCAGACACAGTTGTGGCCAGAAGTTATCAAGAATTATTTATATTATTCATTAAATTTCCCATTTATTGCATTTCATTAACGTCTACCCAAACCCTAAACCCAACCATAACAATACTGTAAAAATATTAATTATTGTTTTACAGTGTTACAAGAATGATGCTATATTGATAGCATATCCGCAGCTGTATCCTATATAGGCTACACCATAAAACAGAAACATGATTAAAATACATAACACCATGATTTTGGAGTTTTTGTACAAGTCGGGATTCGAACCTAAAAGTCGTTGGAAGCATATTAACACCGTGCACACGGTCAGTCCACTAGGCCTTGTGAGACAGGAATTGGCTTCGACCCTGACAGTTACATGCAGATTAGCCAGGTCTCGAAACGCTTCTAAACTGATCGATGCTTTGAATCGTTCTACTCATGTGACCAGGTGTTTCGAAACACTTTAGTCACTTGACCTGGGTGTTTCGGATCATGCTTCGGTGCAGTGTTTCGAAACACTTGCGCTTCAGGATCTCGACACTGTGTCGAAACGTCAGTTTCACGTCAGCCATCCCTACTGTTTGCTGCCTGCCTTTCGACCTCTCGACTGTGTTTATACTATGATTCTGGACTGCTTTTATACATCTGGTTGTACCTGTGTTGACCTTTGCCTGCCTGACTACTCCAATAAACCTGCACGTGGATTCTAACTCGGTTGTTTCTGTCACTCCCCGTGTTACAATAGGCAGAAGAATTACTCTTTAGAATATACGAATGAGTATTGCAGCTGTTGTTCTTAACAGCTATAAAGTTTTGGGTCCAGGTGATGACATGGCAACTTTTTAAGCAGTGTTGCTGTACAATATTGTAGAGTGATGCAAGTTGGCTAGTTTGTGGCTGAAAATTGGCAACAAAATTTTTACAAAAAAATTAGAAATGCACGTTATTTTGTATAGATGTTCACATCATGTTTGTGTAGTTACCACAGTGAAACTAAAACAGGTTGTAATAAATAATACGTTTTACTTAAGTACTTATTTCAGGCCGTACTTCTTTACTTTTACTTGAGTATAAAAGTGTAGTTAGTACTTTAACTTTTACTAGAGTCGTTTTAAACATCTGTACTTCTGATGTGTGTAAATGATGTGTGTACTTTTGCCATCTTTGGCTTTAGATCAGGATGTACAATGAGTTCAAGGTCTGTTACTAAAACTAAATCTCCAGTAATGCTGAATAAACTTTTATTATGTGTAAAAAACTATATCGATGTACTAATTCACTGCTGAAACATTTTTATATGCAGAATATACAGATCTTGAAGTTCTTGAGATGGAAATATCTCAGATGTGGACATTATGTGGAGCGATGCGGAAGATGAAGATTAAGTTTGGTATAAACAAGGTGCAATCTATACAACAAAAACATCAAAATTGAAGTAAAAATGTTACAATCGTGATGTTTGTGATTTTTAAAATAAATTTCAAGATTATAAAAGCAATTATGTATGTTTTTTTTTATTTTATGTTGGTATAACGTTTGAGAATTTCAACTGTTCTGATGTCCATTGAAAAGGACATTTTTTATGCTCTTCTCGCATAAATCTACCAGAGGCCGCTGTTGACTAGGTATGGGATGTTAACCATTTTCAAGGTATACTTTGGTTTGGAAAAGTCAAGGTTATAAAACCACCAAAGTTTTCTGCTATACTGTTCCTAAGAATTTTGTTTTAAGACTTTTTTATTTTCGTTTTTTTTCTTTTTTAGCAGTATCTCCAACAGAAAAGATATCCAAAAACACAATTTTAAATTGTAAAGAAAACTGTGTTATATAAACTAACAAAGACAGCAGAAGTCAATGGTTTATTTTAATTATTTAGCTTGACATGCTTACTGTTATACTATTTTAGAAATGTTTCTCAAAATAAAATATATTGTTTTAAAGGGGAAAAAGTTTTTGTTTTTTACCCAGATATTTACTGACCTACTCTCCTCCTTTCCTAAACCCAACCAATAGTGTTTTCAAAAGCACAGATTGACCAGCTCCCCCCCTTCCCTAAACCCAACCAATGATTTTAAAAAGCATAGCGTTCATTTTAAAGAGGAAATGCAGCTATACGTACTTCTGGCTACATAATTTGAGATATCCAGAAATGTATATAGAGCTACGTTTTCAGAATGAGCCTGTGTTGCAAAAAATAAGGCATGTTAAATTTTTATTATTATTATTTGGTCTCGTTTATAGGAACCTCAAGAACTGTCAAAATATAATTTCAGATTTTTCTGAAACATAAATCGGGTCTGAAGTAGTTGAACTGTAAATAAAAGGTAAACTGGGTAAAACTATAATGCTTCGTTTTTTCTGGATTCATTAAAGTGATTTTTACCTTCTGTTCCTCCTGTTGAACAGTCTTCTGAGGCTAATAAACAGAGAAAAAGAGAGACAAAGAAAGAAAAAATAAAGTTGGTCCAAAAGCATCCTGATTTCAGTCTATTCAACACGACAATACTACAATACACACAATACACAACAGTACTTAATAATAAGAACAAGAATATACTGTATGATGGCACCAAGTAGGACATGTTCCTGGATTAACATCTATGTTGATTCTGGAACAACATTGCAATCAGCCAATCAGAATTAAGGGATACATTTACAGTATATGTTTAGACTTATACTTCTACATGATTGTTATTATTCTCATCTGACTTTGGGATTAATTTACACTTATGATTGGGGTTTGGGGTAGGGAATAAATATGGATTATGTTTTTAAACAAAAATGATGTTCCAGGAGGATCAACATAGATGTTAATCCAGGATTGCACGGTTATTGACAAAATCATGAGGTGCAAGAATATACACACTGTAAAAATATCCGTTAATTAACAGTGTCCATATTTTGTGATTTACAAGTGTATTTATGGTTGTGAATTGCATTATGGGAGGTTGATCTCTGCTCTGTTGACTTTTGATTTTGAAAATTCAACTCTACAGTTTAACAGAGGGACTTTAAATCACTTTTTAATAGTTTGAATTAATATATGAAATAATATATAGAGAAATACGTCTGTAAAATAACAGAAGATGTTCTGGTGGTTTATTACAAAGGTCTTGTAGTGTAATATACAACAACAACCCAGACAATTTATAACTGCAAACTATTAAGAATGTTCAATGTTCACTCGAATGTTCAAGTCATCTTTTTCAACTTTTTAAAGTTAAAAGTTTTGGAAAGAAAGATCAAACTTTCATAATAGAATCACAAAATATGCAAAATTACAATATTTGTGTACACAGTTTCATGTTTCCCTTGAATTTAAATGTTCTTACATTGTAAGTTTGTTGGATTATATTTACTCTTGTTAAAAAGTTGAGCCTAAGATAAATTACAACAAAAAGAAATTGATTACTAAACTGTAAAAAATCCTGGTTCCCTTAAATTTTTAGGCTGAATCAAATTAACCTTATTCCATTGAGTCCACTAAAAATACAACTGAACTAATATTATGTTATATTGACTAAAAAAAAAGCTTGCATAACTTCTAAAATGAAGTTAGAATATGATTAAAGTTACAATGACCTAAAAACATATGCTGTCAGCAGTGCTTAATTTGTAAATTGTGAGGTCCCGGAGCAGATCGGGGTAACAGATCCGGCATGTTACCAGAGGGAAACGAAAAAAAGGGTTGGGGAGTCGGGGAAGAAAGTGAAAAGTGGGACAGGGGTGCGCAGAGGCGGGGGATCGGTAAAATTAGGTGCTGGATTAGATTTCAAGCCCTGGTTGTCAGGACTAATTGATCATATAATTTTTTACAGTATAATTATATCGTTAAAATGACTTTTCTAATTGCTTGGTCTAAAAAGTTACGCAGGCGACGCAGTGGCGCAGTAGGTAGTGCTGTCGCCTCACAGCAAGAAGGTTGCTGGTTTGAGCCTTGGCTGGGTCAGTTGGCATTTCTGTGTGGAGTTTGCATGTTCTCCCCGTGTTCGCGTGGGTTTCCTCCAGGTGCTCCGGTTTCCCCCACAGTCCAAAGACATGCTGTACAGATGAATTGGGTAGGCTAAATTGTCCATAGTGTATGAGTGTGAATGAGTGTGTATGGATGTTTTCCAGAGATGGGTTGCAGCTGAAAGGGCATCCGCATTTATACTTCTGCTTCAAGAGCACGCGTACGGCGCAAGCCTACGTGTGGATGCATAGCCCTTGCCATGGCCGTCGAACACCTCTCAAAAAATGTATCGTTGTTTAAAGTTGTTTAACGTCCGCCGGCTCCTGCCTCAGAATGAGCGAGTTTGAACAACTTGTGCATTAAAGGAGGTTTCAGAAAAAACACCAGCAAAGAAACTCGACACAGAGGAACATTAACACCTCACTGCCAACTAGCGTTTTAGAAGTGTTACTGCAGTGCAACAGAAACAGCGCAGAAAAGAATGAATGCAAAGCTACGCGCGTTGCATGTGCCGTGGGTCACGCCGATCACTTGATGCAGAAGTATAAACCAAGCTTTAGTTGGTGGTTCATTCCGCTGTGGTGACCCCTGATTAATAAAGGGACTAAGCCGAAAAGAAAATGAATGAATAAATGAATGAATGAATGAATGAATGAATGAATGAATGAATGAATGAAAATGGCTCAATAAGTAATCTTTTTCTTGACAATAATAACAACCCACATAAATCTCAGTGACTAGACCAGAGATGGGCAAACTTGATCCTCGAGGGCCGGTGTCCATGCAGAGTTTTGTTCCAACACTAGTCAAACACACCTGAACAAACTAATCAGTGTCTTCAAGGTCACTTGAACTCTATAGGGAGGTCTGTTTGAATAGGGTTGGAGCTAAACTGTGCAGGACACTGGCCCTCCAGGATCAAGTTTGCCCACACCTGGACTAAACAATAGACATGAATAATTTTTTAAAATTATTAATTAATAATTAAATTAATCATTTAAATTTTAATCAAATAGTATTTAATATTATCAATGTATTGTCATTAATTTATTTTTTGGTGTGGCACGGTGGCTCAGCGATTATTACACTATTGCCTCACAGCAAGAAGGTCGGTGGTTGAGCCAGTTAGCATTTCTGTGTGGAGTTTGCATGTTCTCCCCATGTTTCTCTCACAGTCCAAAGGCATGCGCTATAGGTGAAGTGGATAAACTAAAATTGACCGTACTGTATGAGTGTGTGTGATTGAGTGTTTATGCGGGTTTCCCAGTAATGGGTTGCAGCTGGAAGAGCATCCACTGCATAAAACAAATGCTGGAATAGTTGGTGGTTCATTCCGCTGTGGCAACTCGTGATAAATAAGGTATTAAGCCGAAGGAAAATTAATGAATAATTTCTATTTTTTATAAGCATATGGAATTGTCACAAAAATAATATGAATGTTCTTCATTATTTAATATCCAGCATATTCCTTTGCTTCTCTGAATAGATTTATATAAACCTCCTAAATTTTTTGTACAGTATTTAAGGCAAATATATTAAAAGATTCTGTAATCTAATGATCTTAAAATGAAAAGTAATCCCTTAACTGACTTTTTTCAGCATGAAAGTGATTTACCTTGTAACTAAAGACATCCAACGCTGATCAAGACTATTAATGAAAGCTAGATTTAGGATATTCTGGGATCATACATGTTTAGCTTGATGCATTTAAATACATTTTTAGAATTTAGCAAGCTATATTTGAGTATAACTGCTTATTTAAAGAGCAGTAGACTATTTACAAACAATAGACTATTTGTTTACCCATTTTCTTGGTCTTCCTCGTGGTCTTCTTTCTTTAGGTGGCTCGTCCTACATCCCAAAAACAGTGAAACAAGGAGAGAGCATGTTAGATGTCTGAACAAGCATCGTGTTCAGGTTTTAGTGCATTACAGCCGTTTCTTTTTTACCCTGGTTGTGAGGCGCTGGCCTTTGTTTTTACTGCCTCTCGGTCGTCCTCTCGGCCTCCGGGGAGCAGACGGTTCAACAGGCTCCTGAGGGATTCAATTGACTTGCTTTAACTCAAGCTATTTCCTAAGCATTTTGCAAAATTTGAGTATATAAAATACTATTATTATTCTTATTTTAGAAATTCCTTCATTTATTCACTTTTCTGCTGCATAGTGCCTTATTTATCAGGGGTCACCACAGCGGATTGAACCACATACTATTCCAGCATACGTTTTACGCAGCGGATGCCCTTCCAACTGCAACCCAGTACTGGAAAACACCCATACACTCTCACATTTACACACACACTCATACGGCCAATTTAGTTTATTCAATTCACGTGTAGCGCATTTCCTTGAACTGTGGGGGAAACTAAAGCACCCAGAGGAAACACGGGGAGAATATGCAAATTCCACACAGAAATGCCAACTGACCCATTCGGGACTTGAACCAGAGACCTTCTTGCTGTAAGGCGACAGTGCTAACTACTGAGCCACTGTGCCGCCCTCTTTTAAAAATGAGTTGTTATAATTAGTTGTTGTGAAGAAGTTATTATGAAATGCTTTTATAATGCAGTATTATTATAATGATTTTTCTTTTATTTAAAACTAATAGTAATAATAATTGCTTAAACAATTTAAGATTTTTTTAAACAGAATACAAATTATTATTATTAAAATATTAAATACACATTTCAGATGTTTTTGTTATTTTCTAACAATACGTTTTATTATTCTTATAATTATTAATAAACTGAAAAAAATATTTCTGCAAAATTGTTGCAAGCAATTTAAGTGTTAAATTTAAACAAACAAATTACATTTAGTAATGTTTAGCTTAATTTGTTTGTGTAAATTCAGCCCAAATAAATAGTTTACAAATTTAAGCCGAAATTTTGCAAAATTTAGAAATGCAATCATATTTGTGATGCTCCAGGGACAGACGAGTTTTCGCTGAGGCCAGCTTCCAGCCTCCTCTGCTGAGACTGCAGCTCTGCACAAGACTTTTGGCCAGCGGAGAAATTAAAATGGTCGTGCCGAACTGAGTCTGGTTCTCTCAAGGTTTTTTTTCTTCACTCTCCTATTGATGAAGTTTTTTTTCCCCTCTCCGCTGTCGCCACTGGCTTGCATAGTTCAGGATCTGAAAAGCTACTCATCGATGAATTTGCTCTTCAGTGTTTGGACTCTCAATAATGACTTCAAACCACACTGAACTGAGCTAAACTGAACTGAACTTAAACACTTAAAACTGAACTACCCTGATCCAGTTACTATGACCATTTATGTGAAGCTGCTTTGACACAATCTACATTGTAAAAGCGCTATACAAATAAAGCTGAATTGAATTGAATTAAATTGAATATTTGAATAATTTTTTGCTAGATAAGTTGGCGGTTCATTCCGCTGTGGTGACCAGATTAATAAAAGAGACTAAACCAAAAAGAAAATAATTAAATTATATATATAAAATAAATATATTTAATATTAATCTATTTTTTTTTTATTTTTGTACATAAATAATTATTAATATGATAAAGATTAAAAAATTTGCTAGAATAATAATAGAAATACATTTTTCTCTCTTGTAGTGATTTTCATTGATGATTTATTTTTAATATATGATTATACATGATTTACATTAGCCGCCCTGTATATTTTTTCTCCAATTTCTGTTTAACTGAGAGATTTTTTTCAACACATTTCTAAGCATAATAGTTTTAATAACTCATTTCTAATAACTGATTTATTTTATCTTTGCCATGATGATATACAGAATATTTTACTAGATATTTTTCAAGACACTTCTATACAGCTTAAAGTGACATTTAAAGGCTTAACTAGGTTAGGCAAGTTATTGTATAATGATGATTTATCCTAAAGACAATTGAAAAAAAAAATTGTTTAAGGGGGCTAATAATATGGACCTTAAAATGGCTTAAAACTGCTTTTAATCTAGCCAAAATAAAACAAATAAGACTTTCTCCAGAAGAAAATATATCATAGGAAATAAACATTTCTTGCTCTGTTAAACATAGTTTGGAATAAAATAAATAAATGAATAAAATGATAATAATTGTGACTTAAACTGTATATATTTATACTTGATCTGGTCTGACCTGTGGTGCTTTGCGTGGTCGTCCTCTGCTGCGTTTGGGAGCTGCTGTCTCCTCCATCTGACCTGCTCCAGACTCCTCCATGTCCATCCCAGAGCTCCTCACACATTCATCAACACACACACACACAGAGTGGGAAACTCACTTCACACACAGAGGGAGAAGGAAAAAAGGCATCACTGCACAGCTTGAAAGATGCTGAAAAGGCTTTACATACTAATAAAAGAAGTTAAAAAGGCAAGGCACTGAATTAAATGTGACATATTTGAAACAGAAATTCTATGTTCTTGTAATATTCATTCATTCATTTTCTTTTCGGCTTAGTCTTTTTATTATTCTGGGGTTGCTACAGCGGAATGAACCGCCAACTATCCAGCATATGTTTTAGGCAGCAGATGCCCTTCCAGCTGCAACCTATCTCTCAGCACCCAGAGAAAACATGGGGAGAGCATGCAAACACCACACAGAAATGCTAACTGACCCAGCCGGGACTTGATCCAGCAACCTTCTTGCTGTGAGGCTAATAATTGTGACTTAATTTCTATCTATTTCTATAATCCTCCTCTGATCTTCGCCTATCTGACACATCATACAATGACACATACATTAGTCATACAGTAGTTTTAATAGTAAAAAACATGACATGATGACACAGAAGTCTCTGTTTTTCTCGTTGCCTATCATGATGAGCCTATAAAGCCAAGATTAAGGTCAGTTTCAGTGTATAATTCATATATAATGTCCATATAGTGCACACACACAAATTTCATCAATGACGGCTTATTTAACCCCTGCTGGCAGAGAGGGATTTTTCAGAAATCTGTTCAATGGCATCTATTCACATTAAACACAACTTTCCATGTTCCTCTCATGAATAACCACTAACCGTCACTATGGCTCCTCATAAGCAGACCTAATAAACTTACGGAAATAACTAATAAACCTGCAGAAAAAACACCAGTGTGGCAATATTATACAGTTTAATCAGCATTGTCATATGCAATGGTATTTAAATGTAAATGCAAGATGCTTAAAAAAATTAAAATCCTTTATGCCAGATTATAAACAAACATGTTTTTCCATGCATACTTTAAGGTAAGAATCAGGTACTTTCTGTGCAGTAAAATGAGTACTAAATGTTTCATAGTATTACCACCATTATAAAGGAACACTTACCAAAAAAGTATGATGCTTGTTGTGTGTTTTTAAATATTTGTCATTGCAGTAGTACTGTGGTGTTTTTGGAATGTACCATGAAATAATAATTATGCTGCATAAATTTCACTACTATAGTATATGTCAAAGTCAAAATAATTATGATATCTAAATAAAATAATAAAAATAAATAAATAAATAATTTATGTTTTAAATAAATAAATGACTTAAAAATAAATGAATAAAAAACAAAATAAAATAAAAATAAATAAAATTATAATATTAAATAAAATAAAATTATAAAATATAATAGAATAAAAAAAGAAAACAAAAATGAAAATAATAAAACAGAATACACTGTCCTAAAATAAAATAAGCAAATTCTAAAATAAAAAAAGAATAAAATAAATAAAATAATAATAAAAAATAAATAAAATAAAATAAAACAAAATAAAATAAAACATTCTTTGTAAAAAAAAAGTTGATTCAACTTAAAATTAAGGCAACAAACTTCAGGAACTTTTTACTTAAATCAAGTCAAGTGCAGAAATTGGGTTGAAAGTCGAGTCAACTCAAAAATGGCCTAAAGTTATCCTGATGTAGGTAAGTGTTTGCCGAAAAGGGCAAGTGCAGTTTTAAAGAATAGCCGTGTTAATAAAAGCTTAAAACAATATATAAAATCTGCATTTTCGGGTGCCTTGACTTACTTTTGCTGTTTGTTCTGAAGTTTATTGCATTAAAATTTTAGGTTGAGTTTGAGTTTTTTTTACAGTGTGTTAGTACTGTAGAATTATGTAATCAAGAAGCTAAAATTTCTGAACAATACATGTCAAAATATAATGATCTTTAAATTTCACAACAAAACTACTTTATCTCACTTTCCCTCGAATTATTCTCTGCTTTATCAGGGGGTCACCACAGAGGAATGAACCACCAATTACAACAGAATAATTAAAAATAAAATAAATATAAATATATTTTGGAAGTATGCAACTACTTAACTACCAAAATGCAAAACTTTCAGAAGATTATGTGCCAAAATATAATGCTCTCTAAACTTCACAACACAACCACTTAATCTCACTTTTCCTTCGGTTTATTCCATGCTTTATCAGGGGGTTACCACAGTGGAATGAACCGCCAACTACAACAGGATTAACAAAAAATAAATAAAATTAAATTAAACAAAATAAAAGAAAAACCTACCTAGATGCAAAAACTTCAGAAGACTACATGCCAAAATACAATGATCTCTAAATTTCACAACAACACTACTTAATCTCGCTTTCCTGTAGCTTATTCCCTGCTTTATCAGGGGGTTACCACAGTGGAATGAACTTCCAATTACAACAAAATGAACATAAACAAAATAAATGTAAAAATTTTAAATAAAAAAACCTAAACAAAACAAAATTAAATTTAAAAAAATACTGGCGGTGCAATGGCACAGTGGGTAGGGCTGCTGCCTCACAGCAAGAAGGTCGCTGGTTTGAGCCTTGGCTGGGACAGTTGGCATTTCTGTGAGGAGTTTGGGTTTCCTCCGGGTGCTCCTGTTTCCCCAATGCCCTATAGCTTGTGGCTGGAAGGGCATCCACTGCCTAAAACATATACTAGATAAGTTGGTGGTTCATTCCGCTGTGGCGACCTCTGATTAATAAAGGAACTGAGCTGAAAAGAAAATGAATGAATGAAAAATAAAACACCCTAACCAAATCCTAAACTAAACGAATTCTAAAATAAACTCTGGAGGTCTGGGATGGATGGAAGCGGCTCGCCAGCTATTTAGTGTGTTTTCAGTGGTCTTTAAGTTCCTTTTCCATATGGTGGGCAATTACGACAGCCCACATTCCTCACATACTTTCAGACCTACAGAAAAATGTAGCTGGCGGTCGTGAACTACAGCGTGTAATGAGCACGCTTTGCGGTGTCCTGAGGATGTAAACACAGCCCTAGCAACATTTAAACAGGGAGAAACAAAATATTATTAAAGACACTACAACAACAACCTCAGGAGCCACAAAAAAGAGAGAAAATGGCAGGCATAAACACAATAACAGAACTGAGGTAAAGTTGGTTATATATTTGCACATTGGTTCAGTTACAACTTGTGATGTGCTCCCTATATTGTTTACCATGGTACTTTGAATATTCAGTCTGAAATCACAAGTAGGTTTGTCTTTAAAACAATATTAGCACTATTTATTTGACTATGAATGCACAATTATGTACTTTGATAGTCATTGGCTGCTAATATAAATTAAATTATTATTATTATTAAGAAAAAAGTCAGAATGTGTGAATATTAAACCAAGTTTACCGCAATAATAATAACTAAAGTCAAATAACAAAGAGGTTTCCCATGTGCTGTGGACCAGAAGAAGGGGTTTATTTGAATATGGCCCTATGTCAATGACAATTTAGACGTGTACTATAGTATTTTTACATTTTTAATCAATCAATATTATGTATTAGGCTAATATCTGCACAAGTAAGCTATATTAAAAGGATTTTTTGACTTTCTTTAAAACTAAAAAGCCGAAAAGGATACCCATCTCTGTTTTAGACTGCGTGCCAACATCTTTTCCCCCCTCTGACATTAAAACTTGACGTTTTTCCCTCAGTAACATACTCCAGTTAACATCATGTTGAATAGTGCTTCAGTTCAACATAAACCGATTTAAAATATAAAACTGTCATTAATGTGGATGTAAAGCGGTAAAATAAGTCCATTTACCTTGTTTACGTTGTCCAGTGTTGATCTGAAGCGCGTGTGAAGTCGCGTGTGACGAGAGCGAGTGTGAACATCAACAACATATGATTGGCTCCGCCTACGCACGTCAATCATCTTCAGATTTGAATGGCCACGCCTCTTGTAATTTCAGCTATTTTTCAAAGCTTTTTTTGTAAAATAATTAGAAATAGTTTCTAATAAGTAATTTAAGTAATGTTCATAAAATGTTGTTAAGAAGATACAATTTCTTTTAATGCAAAGGCTATTTTTGCAATCAATAAACCCAAACAAAACATTTTCCCACAGTAAGCAAAAGTCTTTATCAACGTTCACATTTACAAAAAGGGAACTTTTATTCCGAAGCAAAGTAGAATAATTGCATTACCAATATAAATGAACTCTGACGCTTCTGGGTCGCGTTTTTGTGCAGCGTAGGCGGCTATTCTGATAGGCTGTGCGCAGTGGCGTCGCGTTCTAAAAAACGCAAATGAAGAAGCCAAAATCTGCAGCTTAATCTAGTAATCTGTTGCCAGTCACACACACACACACACACACCCATATAACGATCAGCCCAGTGTTTACCAGAACAGTCTATCTGCTCGTTGCCACGGGATTCACACGTTGTTCAAATTATTAAAACAAGATCAAGGGATGAGTAATCTGGGATTTTTTCACCTTGTAAAGAAGTATTTCAAGAAAACAACATTAGTCATTTTCAAAAGAATGAGAAAGCACTGTCAAAAGTACCAAAAAAGTACCATAGTTTTAATATGAAGTAGTTCGGTTGTAATAAAAATAGCATGTGAATATAGGCTATTAGAAGTGTGTCAATACATGAGAATATGCTATAGTATTTCATAGTAAATGCTAGTATTTTTTAAACTACACTAAAGTACTTGGAATTAGTCGGTTATGATTATATAACATTGTTAATGCAACAAAAAGCATTATATACTATGCAGTACCCTACTGATATATACAACTAGAATATATTACTAGAATAAACCAGTTTACAGTAGTAAAAACTAAAATATACAACAGTATTTATTACAGTTTACCAGTTCATTGCAGTTCATTCTAGTTTGCTGCTGCATTCAGTGACAGTGTTAAAATTACTATAATATATACTCACCGGCCACTTTATTAGGTACACCTTACTATTACCGGGTTTGACTCCCCTTTTGCCTTCAGAACTGCCTTAATCCTTTATGGCATAGATTCAAAAAGGCACTGGAAATATTCCTCAGCGATTTGGTCCATACTGACATGATAGCATCACGCAGTTGCTGCAGATTTGTCGGCTGCACATCCCTGATGCCAATCTCCCGTTCTACCCTATCCCAAAGGTGCTCTATTGGACTGTGGAGGCCATTTGAGTACAGTGAACTCATTGTCATGTTCAAGTAACCAGTTTGAGATTTGTCGTGCTTTATGACATGGTGCATTATCCCACTGGAAATAGCCATCAGAAGATGGGTACACTTTGATCATAAAGGGATGGACATGGTCAGCAACAATACTCAGGTAGGCTGTGGCGTTGACATGATGCTCATTTAGTACTAATGGGGCCAAGGGTGCCAAGAAAATATCTTCCACACCATTACACCACCACCACCAGCCTAAACTGTTGATACAAGGTAGGATGCATTCATGCTTTCATGTTGATGATGCCAAATTCTGACCCTACCATCCAAATTTCGCAAAAGAAATCGACACTCATCAGAGCAGGCAACGTTTTTCCAATCGTCTCTTGTCCAGTTTTGATGAGCCTGTGTGAATTGTAGCCTCAGTTTCCTGGTCTTAGCTGACAGAAGTGGCACCCGGTGGTCTTCTGCTGCTGTTGTTCATCTGCCTCAAGGTTGGATGTGTTGTGTGTTCAGAGATGCTCTTCTGCATAGCTCGGTTGTAACGAGTGGTTATTCGAGTTACTGTCTATCAGCTGGAACCAGTCTGGCCATTCTCCTCTGATATCAACAAAGCATTTGCAGCCACAGCCTTGCCGCTCACTGGATATTTTCTCTTTTTCAGACCATTCTCTGTAAACCCTAGAGATGGTTGCGTGTGAAAATCCCAGTAGATCAGCAGTTTCTGAAATACTCAGACCAGCCCGTCTGGCACCAACAACCATGCCAGATTCAAAGTCATTTAAATCCCTTTCTTTCCCATTCTGATGCACGGTTTGAACTGCAGCAGATCGTCTTGACCATGTCTACGTGTCTAAATGCGTTGAGTTGCTGCCATGTGAATGGCTGATTAGAAATTTGCGCCAACGAGCAGTAGGACAGGTATACCTAATAAAATGGCCGGTGAGTTTACAGTATAATACACTTAACTCTAAGTATGATTAAAAACACTAGTATTTACTATTATTTTTTATAAGGATGGATTTGTGGATAATATACTAAATAAATATTACACAAGTAAAAAAACACCATTTTAACACTTTATTAACATTAGAAATATTACAAAATTCAAGAAAACTCAGACCTGTGGTGTTAGTTTAAGTGTACATATATGTGCACATGTATATTTATATGTTTCACAACTGCAAACTTGAATATTAAGTCAATTAATCTCCTAAATGATACAAAATGCTTGCATATTCATAAAAAAGGTATATTAAGTTTTAAGTATATTACATTCTGTCTACTTTATATATGAGCAGATGAATTTCTCTGTTAGTTAGGTCATCTCCATGACTTTCTTTATCCAGTCCACATAAACCGAGACGCGGATAAAGATGTTGGGTTGTCCTGCGTGTCCACAGCGGCGCATGGGAATAATGACTCCCTCTAGGACCCAGCAGTCACTGTTCTGACAGGCCAGCGGGCCTCCGTAATCCCTCTGAGAGCCGAAGAGAAGAACGTTATTCTGCACACCTGCACTTACTCATTTCACAATCCACATTCACATTTACTGCACAAGCACAACTTCAAACACGTGCAGCTGCACAAACGCATACAAAGGAAACGTTTAAAGCTGAAATGCTTCATTTGTTGCAAGCTAAGCAATGTCTAGACCTGTGATTCTCAGTTTTACTAAAATTAATTGTTCTGCAAAAATCCTTATAGTTCACCCAAATCTGAAATTTCGGTCATCATTTACTCATTCTGTCTTCATTTGTCAAAAAAAAAAGTAATTTTTTTTTTTTTTTGCTGAACACAAAAGAAGATATTTCGAAGAAAGATGCAAACCAATAATTATTAGCAATGTTTTAATTAAAAATGTGACTTAAATTGATGCACAAAACGAGAATAATCGCATAAAAGAGGTGCGAATAAAGCAGCGTTTCCATCCAACGAGTCAATAAGAACAAAATCATCATTTCCTGATTAACTGGCATCAAATATCAAAAGTAAAAGCGTAATTTACTGCGGTAGATGAAGCTTCCTGAATCTTTTCTTTATTTAATAAATGACTTGCACCTCAGGAGTCAATGCCGACATGCACTGAACACATGGTGGTGTTTAAAGGGTCATGAAACACCAAAACACATTTTTTGAGCTGTTGACAGTCGTATATGCGTCCCACACTGCTAAAAACACTATTAGGACACCTATATTTCACTAAAAAGTGTAAATTGGTTGTTTTTGCGTTATTTCAAGCAAATTCGTACTTCCGGTTTGAAACTAATTTTTGAAGCTGCGTCAAAAAATTCCAGCGTGCAGACTGGACGTCTGTGCCAGAGTGTGTCTTATTACGTCTTACAGTGTGTTGCATTAATGCATGAGTAAGGCTTGGTTCAAACCAATCAGCGCGCACTATTGTGCAACCTCATTAATATTCATTACTGTCACAGTGTTTAGACGGCAGAGACGCCACATCATGTTGGCAAAACAAGCGTGAAGTGTTGCTTTTATAGTTTGCTGCAGTTAGGTTTCGTTTTCATTTCCTCTCTGTGAGAGCTCAGTGTCACGTGTGGATTAACAGTGCCCACGACGCTCGACAACAATAACTTACATGTCTAAGGAGGATTATTGTTTACCTGAGAGCTGTTCTCATCTGCAAACGCTGAGATCCGGATTCGCTTGTAGTCTCCTTTTAATAAAGATGCGGCTCTAGTTGCTGGTGATTGTCCTGTCTCTACAGATTTGGTAAGTGAGCGACCAGTGCTCTTTGTTTATTTAGTTTGTTCGTATCTAACAAACTATTGCACCGAGTGTAAACATGTTAGCACCACAACCAAACTTTAACCTCGTGTAGGGTTTTTACCGCATTTAGTGACCGGAATAACACACGCGGCTTTCTGACACTACCTGCCGTGTGCATCTAAGTTTCCGGGAAATGCTGAGGTTTTTTTTTCTCTCTCATTCTCCGTGCGGTATCAAACATTGCATGAAAAATACACGCTTAGAGCAGTTCCTCCAATCAAATATCGCGTTTGTCGCGAGGGGCATGAATGAATTCCCTGGCAAATAATTCGACTACAGATGTCCATGTAGGTTAAACACCATTACTTTCTACTGTGTGTGTGAATTTTGACTCTGAAACTCGCGCGTGCCCAAATGGACACTCCCACACCATCCCACTTTTCTTCCTCCGACACTCCCCCCTAAACAGAGGTGGACACGCCCACTTTTCTGACTTTTTCCAAAGTAGAGGTGTGAAAACACCCTGCTGAAACGAGGGGGTTTCATGGCCCTTTAAAGGTGTGAGACAGGGCTGGAGCAAGCTGAACTGCCGCTCTAGGCAGAGGACAATCACGCCGCCCTCAACCCCAATGTGAAAACGAAAGTGAACGGTTATGAAAATAAAGTGAGGTGTTGCGGACCTTTATTCTGCCGCCCTATGCGCGGATATAACTGAGGACGTGCGGGTGCTGAGGGAGGGAGGTGTCGTGGACGCCACCCTCTCTATTCTGCCGCCCTTTGCGCGGATATAACTGAGGACACGCGGGTGCTGATGGAGGTGTCGCTGACGCCGCCCTCTCTATTCTGTTGCCTATGCGCGAATATATCTGAGCTACTGCGCCACTGCTTCGCCCCTGGGTGACCTTTAATTAAAAAAAAATAAATCTAATTTCCAATCTAAAGTTTTTCATTCAAAAATTCTTAATATTACAATTTTTAATCAAATTTTCAACTAAATGAGTTTAAAACTGGCAGCACGGTGGCTCAGTGGTCAGCACTAAGGAAAAGATCAAAAGAAAATCAACAACTCAACAACTACGCTTGATGAAG